TTACCTGATGCCACATTTATTTCCATGGTAAAAGATGATTTGGTTATTGGATGGTTTAATAATGACAAGGATACAGTGTTCAAAAAAATTATCATTTATAAAGATAATCATACAAGTAGGTGTAATGTTATATTTACAATTCAATCATAGGTATTATTAGGAGTTTTTAGTAATTACTATATTTTAGGTGTTTGTAAGCAAAGTCATAGTGAATGTTGAAGGAATAATGCAAACTGCTACAGATTTTGAAGATATTGAAGAAATATATATAATATATAATATATGAAGAAGGACTTAGCAGTGAAGTACTATTTAGCATTTGTTCTAAACTTGAACAGATAGACTCACTACAACTTATTGGATGTGATCTCCATGCAGATGGCTTAACATCTTCTATAGTTAACTTCTTTCTTATAACAAGTGTACATTTTGTTTGTTCTCGATCCAATTCTATAGACAATGCAAAGAAAGAAAAATCAAAACTTCATAGAAAGTCTGCAAAGTTAGTTTAAAGCTTAAGCACCTATTGCTAAGTCATATTTACATTATTATATAACCTACTTACACGATTTTGTTTTTTATACGCCTATATATGTAATAAATAATAATATTATTATGCTTAATGTTGCTAATAAGCTCATATGCTTTTTTAATTAATTAGTTCAAATAATCAATAATATACAACATTTATATTTAAATTTTTATTATTTTTATTGAAACTGATCTGCTCTTTAAATTGTGTTGTATAATATTTGGTCATAAGTTTTATAATTTAGGATAAAATGACTAAATACCACAAAAGTTCCTATGCTTCTAATGTTACAGTAGTATGACTGGCGTTCTGCAGCGCGCTCTAACGGATGCTACATATCTAGTCCCCCTTTTATCTGTATAGATCGGTGTCCTTACTCTAATGTTCATGACTTATAACTAATTTTATCATGATTAGATTCTTATATTCATAGTCATAGCAACCTGATAACAACGAATTTTGCCATTCAAATTGTTATCAATAAATATGAGGTACATTAACTGTTTTTCACCATTTGACGATTTTGACGTTTAGTTTTATTTTACAAGCGTTGTATAGTAAACCGAATATTATTATTTAATCTATCTATCTATCTCTTATATTATAAAACGAGGTTAGTCCCCAGTTTTGTCCACGGGGATAGACGACTTTCGTGTCGTTTTTCCGGCCCGGCCAATCGCAACGTTCAGATTCTGCGGCGGGCAATACCGCGTTATCACTTCTTTTCTTATCATTTTTGAAATTTTCGAAATTTACACTTTTTACACGATTTCGACCGTTTTCTAGCCTTTTTCGCTCATAATTATATTTGATTCGCGTAGCTCGCGATCTCTCGAAGCCGCCGGTGTGCGGTTTATATCCGTTCGCCGTCCGTAGCCGTCGCAATGTCGATCGCAAAATACGCTCCCGGCCGGACTTTTTTGCCGATTTCTTTCGTTTTCTCCGACAGTTTCGTCTTTTCGCACGTCGTTCGTGCCCGAATCGTGTAGTTGACGTCTTTCTAAAGCCGTATATATACGCTTTTCTTACGAAATCGGTCGGTTCGCTTCGCAATCGCGTTTAGAAATTACGACCGACCGTACGCGTATAATACATGTATATACGTGTATAATTTAATTTTTGCCTATTGATTTAATAATTATTAACGGAAAACGCTTTTCACGAGCTCCGTTAAATATATACATATATATATATATGTATATGGGAGATGCGTGTATTACAAGCGAATTATATGCGACTACATCGATGAACATCGAATATATCGGCTTACGTCGCTCCTTAAACGCACGGCTTAAGTGTTGATGTTTTGACCGTAATCCATATCTCAAATTGTGTCCGAGTAGGTTAGGCGTTAGGTAGAAAACACGTAGGTCCCGGTTTCGAATCCCGCCGTACGCTCTCGGGGCGTCGCTGCGGTCATTGCCATAAAGCCGCGTACACACTTGTAACATTTTTGCGTATCGTAACGCCGCAACATAAATCTGTAGTGTTACGTGTTACGTGTTACGTGTTACGATATCATTATTTGTGTGTAGGTGTTGCGATGTTGCGATGTTGCTATGTTGCGTAGTGTTCCATGTTTATTTATTTATTTACTGAGCATACTGCATGCTTGGAGTAAATTTAGTTTACCGTGGTTCTTTGCAGTGGTAGTACGTTCTTTGACAATTTGTATTTTAACTTTTTTTTTTACAATGTCTAATTTGCAAATTAGTGCTGCAGCATATATATATATTCATTACGCATTAAAAAAAAAAAGAAAACAAAGAAGATGGTGGCAGACGCAACTTTTTAAAAGCAGAGATGAACATAGTGGAAACGTGTTATTGAGTGATTTAAAATTTCAAGCTATAAGTGGACAATACAAAAATTTTACTCGAATGTCACCAACTGATTTTGAATACTTGATTAATTTAATTGGACCGAAAATTGCCAAACAGGATACATTCATGCGAAAATCAATTACCGTTCAAGAGAGACTGTCTATAACTTTACGCTTTTTGGCAACAGGCGATCACTATAGTAGTTTACAATACCTTTTTAGAGTATCCAAACAAGCAATCAGTCAAATAATTCCAGAAGTCTGTAGAGCTCTAATTGAAGCACTGAAATACAATATACAGGTAATATTAATTAATTTGTATTTATTTGCATCTTATTTTATAATATTGATGTTTTATAACGTCAAAGTAAACTAAAAATGTAAACATTATTTAGAAATGATTGATTTTTTGGATTAGGTACTAAATTGTTTCTATTGAAATTTAAAAATAAATAGTTAGAAAATCAAAAATTTAAACTGTGTAGAAATAGCTCAGAATACGCTTCAAATAATAACTTATTAGTACCTATAGTACAGTGCAATTAGACGAAAAAAGGGGTTCAGCTCGGAAAAATTCCCACCTAGCTGAATTTTGGTACACATCTTTATTACATCGTTGTAAACAATGTCTAAAAAGTCGACCTCGATATCATGTACGCGTTAAAGGTTATTCGAGGTCAAAGGTCACGAAATTAGCCTTTTTTTTAATATCTCGTTTTTTATTGGTCGTACAAAAAAAAGTTTTCTGTACAAATTGTAGAGGAGGTAATTATCTACAAAAATGGTCTCTTGACATTTTCACGTCAAGTTGATAGTTTTTCCGTTATAAGGCCAACAATGTGTACACTTTTAATGAAATATGATTTTTTGGCTAAAAACAAGTAGCCTTTGCGTTAATATCTCGCTTTATACTGCTTGTACGATAAAAAGTCTCGAACAAAAATTTTAGAGGACAAAATTTTCTACAAAATGGTTATATATTTATATATATATATATCCAATCGCACTTGCGGTATACAAATTTTAATGTTTACCATACAAAATTACAATAATATTATATTATATTATATCATATTATAATAACGATAATAAGAATGCATTCGTTTTATGTAAGATGTATAATGTAGGTACATTGTACATATTACTGTTGTCTGGAATGTCCGTTGGGGGAAACTTACCCCTTAAATTGGTTTAAATATATGTACAAATGAAGTATACAAAATTGCATGTCGATAGATTAAGTTTAACCCGTGCCCACCAGCCCTCAAAGTTCAAATATATGGTTCTGTTTAAGTAACCACAGTTTTTCTTAAATGATTGACTGCTATCTCGTTGTTATCATTTCTTACAAAAATAAGTCTAGTATATTATTTATAGTAAATTAAATTTTCTATAACTTTTGTTCTATACAGTTTTTTGATTAACATAATATTTATTAATATAACTGATTATGAAACATGCTGAAAACCTAATTGCACTGGACTACTAGCATTGTGTACACAATTATCACATAGTATACCTAAAAAAATGTGATTTTTAACAACTGTTTTTAAATGATTGATTTTTTAGATACCATCCACAGAAGAAGGTTGGTTTGATATTGAACGACAGTTTGAAGAAAATTGGAACTTCCCTCATTGCTTAGGCTCATTAGATGGCAAACACATTGTTATTCAAGCACCCATTAATAGCGGCAGTGAATTTTTCAATTATAAAAATTCATTTAGCATTGTGCTTTTTGCTTTAGTCGACGCAAGTTATAATTTTTTGTTCGTCGATATAGGGTGTCAGGGAAGAATTTCCGATGGCGGTGTTTTTAAAAACTCTACTTTGTACAAAAAACTCGAAAATAAACAGCTGCGATTTCCTAAACCAGAACCTTTACCTAATAGACAAAAAGAAATTAGTTTTTTTTTTATTGGGGATGATGCGTTTGCTTTAAACGAAAACCTGATGAAAGTATTTTCTGGAGTTTATCCAAAAGGTTCTCTCCAAAGAATATTTAACTACAGGCTATCGAGAGCAAGAAGGGTTGTAGAGAACGCTTTTGGAATCAGCTCATCGATTTTTCGTGTACTTCGAAAACCGATTCTTTTGGAGCCAGAAAATACTCAAATTATTGTAAAAACAGTTGCACATCTTCATAATTTTTTAAGAAGGAATACAACTTCTTCAAATATTTACTCACCGCATGGAAGTATGGACTATTATGTAAACGGCGAGTTGGTATATGGTTCATGGAGAAATGATGACTATGAAAATAGAACCTCATTACTGGATTTAAGAAACGTTGCTCGTCGATCGCCTTTAGTAGCGAAAGAAATTCGTGAAGAATTAGCTGACTATTTCCTAAATGAAGGACAAGTTTCCTGGCAAAATGACTACAATTAATTTTGATCATTTTATCGCTTTATATATTTTATAATTACTTATACTTTAATATACTTTAATATTATAAATTACTTGTACTTATAAGTATTATTATTTGGGTGTACTGTTTATTCAAAAAAAAACTTATAAAAATGTATATATTATTATACCTGTATCATTAAAATGTAAAAAATTATATAATTATGATATAATATTAACTTATTTAAAAGTGTGTTACTCAAAGTATATGAAAATAAATTTAATGTAATATTGAAAAGTTTAAAATGTCTTCGTCGTCAACTTGAGGCGAATGAACTTGTAAAGATTCTGGAGGAGTTGGTGTTGGAGTGGAGTAAGTGGATGACAAATTAGAAACCTGAGACATGTTTGATGTTGTTGAGCGTGAAGGATAATCAAAAGTATACGACAAAGGCTGTTCGTACATTCCATTATCTGCATTCAGAAAGATACCCATGAAAGCATGTTGAATTGCACTTTGTGTTCTAGCAGAGTATTTTTTTAATTTGTTTGCCACAAAATTGCCAAAATTTTGTTGTTCGTCAGAATTTGTAGCAGAAGCTGCAGCAGTTAAAAGTCCAAAAGCTTTATCTAAGCGATGATCTTCTGCATTTTTTCTTTTTTTTGAGGATGGTGGAGTCGGTGTTGAAAGACTCGGTGGTGGACGTGGTGAGCTTGTAGAAGGACTTTGAATGTCTGTTTCACTCGGTGGTGGAATTGGTGAGCTTGTAGAAGGACTTTGAATGTCTGTTTCTTCTTCAATCTGTATCGTAATCATATCGTAATTAAGTATTAATATTTAATATTATTATAGTAATTATTTTATATTCCGAGCCACAATATAAAATTTTTAAAAAATTTCAAATCTTTTTAAGTTAATTTAAAATTTAAATTAACATTTAAAATTTTCAATCTTCTTTAGTTTTTTTTTATAAACGACAATAGAATTTTATTCGTTTGGTAAATAAGCTTCAAAATTTGATACAAGACTTTTAATATATTGCCACAATAGTAGTTAAAAAACATTAAAAATACATAGTCATAATTTTTTTTAATAAGCATTTTAATGAATCTTATTTGAGTAATTTGGAATTTATTTTATAGGAAACTACTTTTTTTTAAAAAATAATAACAATATACCTAATAAAATTAATATTGTATAAAATATCCTAGACTGAAAACTCCGAAAACTCGTCTCCGATCAGAATCGTTTTTCGTATACAATGATATTATATCATTGAATTCAAATTTAATACTATCCATTACAGTAAATCACTCGTAAACATCTGTACAGCAGAGCGACATCCATCCTTTTTTTTTAAATTTTTTTATATAGTAGCTACTATTCTACAGCACAGTGGGCCGCGCGTGCTACGGTTATAAAACAAAAAAAAAATGTATAAATACTAAAAATAGCAATATATTGGGAACCTTGTATTAAATTTTCAGACTTTTTGGCCCTCCAAATAAAATTTTATTGACAATTATAAAAAAAAAAAAAAACTAAAAACATTGAAAACTGAAAATTTCTGTAAACAGCTCAAAACAAATCTAAATATTTTCAAAAATCGTATGGTTTATAGAAAATGAGAATATAAACATTCACCGCAATTTTCATATATAAAATTATAAAATTGAATTTTAGATTCTGAGCGAAGCGATGAATGTATTGGTTTTACAATGATATCGTAGATACATGAAATTTTCACTGGTGGTTTATATTTGCATTTTCTATACACGATAACATTTTCAAAATATTTTGATTTATTTTGAACTGTTTAGGGACATTTTCATTTTTCATTTTTTTTTAGTTTTTTTTCTAGAAATATCAATAAAATTTTATTCGTTGGTCAAAAATTCTTGAAAATTTAATAGAAGGCTCCTAATATATTGTTTCAAAGGTAGATTAAAAATATCAAAAATCCGTAGTCACAATTTTTTTTTCTAAGCATTCAAAGTTGAAATTTTGACAAAATACGTAAAAATGACGACAATTTTCAAATTATTTTGAGTTAGAAATTCATAAAAATTTTTCTTTTGAAATCTGAGGTTTTAAATTTTAACACAAGATTTAACATAAGTTTTCTACTTTTATCAAAAATAAAATATCTAAAAGCAAGTAAAAATAAATTTTTATGAGCGTTTTAAGTTCATAGTTTTACAACATAGGATATTCACTCGATTTCTCATGTAGCGTTTTTCTTATTTGGTTGTAATTCAAAAACGAATAATTGTAGATGCACGAAAATTTCACTGAATGTTTATATACTCATTTCATATACACCATACAATTTTGAAAATGTTTTGATTTGTTTTGAGCTGTTTACAGACATTTTCAGTTTTCAATTTTTTTTTTATAATTGTCAATAAAATTTTATTTGGTGGGCCAAAAAGTCTGAATATTTAATACAAGCTTCCTAGTATATTGTTACAATATCGGTTGAAAAATTTTAAAAATACATAGGCACGATTTTTTTTTATAAGCGTTTAAAGTTCGAATTTTGACAAAATTTGTCAAAATCTTGAAAATTAACAATCAATGGATCTAAAAAATTATAAAATGTTCAGTTTTTATAACTAAGAGTTGAAAATTTAAAACAAAGATTCTCATAAATAATTCTTACTGTAATTGAAAAATCTAAAAAATATATGAACACAATAATTTTTTACAGACATTTTAAATTCAAATTTGGACGAAATTACATATTGAAACCAAAAATAACGATTTTAATTATTTTGTTATAATTTAAAAATATTATTTGTTTGGTATATGAAACCTTTAGAGTGTATTGTTATATTTTATATACACACAATGGCATTTTCAAACGTAATTTTTTTGGGAAAAATAAATTAAACAAACTGTAGTAAATACTAATGCCTACTACTAAAATTAATTATTTTATTCACAATAATATCATCAAATACACTTAGTAAGGTATTATAGACTGACTGACCGTCTTCGCTCAGAATCGTTTTTACAATGATATAATATCATTGGATTAAAATTTAATATCATGCATTATACAGTGACCTACTTGTAATCTACTGTACAGCAGAGCGACATACACTTACCCGCCCTTTTTTCATACTGTTACTTGGTGTTACTGATTTATACCTATGAATTGATATATTTTACATTTTCTTTGTGATCAACACCGAAAAAGTTCCTAAATCCTAATTCTTATAAAACTTTGGTAAAGGTAGAATTACTATTGAGAAAAATGTAATAATATGTTAGTTAAAGTTGGGCCGTTAAGTATAGTAAAATGGGCCGGTTGCATACAGAGAATAGTGGGCCGAAACCCTTCCAGTCCGGCCCTGTGTGTAGTGGTTGTTATCTCGGAAAAATATTACTATTAGCTAGTGTAGTTTCAATAACTATAATAATATAGTAACATTATCATAGTTGTACAATTATTTATATGATTAAATTAAATATAATATTAGTAAAAAAAAAATAACTATTTTTTTTTTCCGTGATATTATTTGGGTATAACAAAATTATCATCTATTTTTGAACGATAACCAAAGTATTATTGATTATTTTTAGTTTTTACTTTATATTTTTTTGTTTTTATTTTGTATGTCTTAATTTAGATTTAAAGTATTAGTATTATTATATTAAATATTTTAATAGGTACTAACTTAACTTAAACTTATTCCTAATTACATAAAATATAAACTATTTTATACTCACAGAACTTGTTGTTTGATTAGGTGTATCCTTATCCTGGAGATATTTCATATGCTTGTACGCATACCAAGAGCTTTGATATATTTCATCTGCGCCTATGAAAAATATAATTATTACCTATTTAAAAAATTTACTTTCACATGTAACTTTCTTACCTTTCCCTGTTCCAAAACTTTTTTTAATTTTTGCTTTTTCTCTTCTCATAGCAGATAACAAGCTATTCATTTTTTTCCTGCATTCATCAGCAGTACACCCAATTTCATTTGCTATCTGTTCCAAAGCATCATTTCTTTTGATTTTATTGTAGTATTGAGGGTGTTTTGCATGCCAAAGTAACGGTTTTTGTTCATACAATTCAATAAATCGGATTGTATTTTCTTCGTTCCACTCCATAGTCACAAATATAATTAACAGACAACAGTGTTTACGATTTAAAGCTTGAAGTATGACAGTCAGAAATCAAAACACAAATAATGCGTTGTTGCATTATTATTTACGTCCACACTATTCGTATCCCCACCTCGCAACAATCCTTTGATGCGGTTCAAATTTACCGACATCTCGCGGGACGGGCCGCAACTTCGTCGCGTATCAACTTTTGTCACGCGGCGTTGTTGCGCCTTCACGTCCACACGTCGATTGCTGTTACGCGTCTATGTTACGTTACAGCGTTACGTTACGCGCAAATGTTACAAGTGTGTACGCGGCTTAAGGTTTACACGGTCGCCCGAAACCCAACTTTTTTGCATTTTTTTTTCACTATATTTTTCATATAAATTAAAGAATAATATAATAATACATTAACATTATTATTATTTAAAGTCATTGTCATATTATATCACACAATAAATAGGTACATAGTATATATATTTTTTGCATTTTTTTTCCGTAATTTTACAAATTTCCGATCTTTTCTCTTTACTATTATTATTATTTTAACTTTACTTTGTGTATGTACGTTCAATTTTTGTTAATTAATCTACCATATTTAATTTTTTATGTATTAAAATATTAATATAAATATGTATTTATGTAGGTAAGCATGTTTTATTTCGATTTTCTTACGTTATTTTACAAATTATAGTTACTGGTTTTTTAAAATTTTTATAATATTACTTTACTGTATGAATATTTTTACTACTAAATTTTTATACCATTATATTATGTCATGTCCCTTCATCGTTGTATTTTAACTATTGTATTTTTACCTAAATAATTGTTTATTTAAAAAAAAGTATAATGTCATGTACATAATTGTAATTTAACTATTGCATTTCTTACTAATTGCATGTCTGAATATAAAAAAATA